AGACACCACTCATCACACCATTTTGCAAGCGATTTAAATTGTCTTGTAATTGTACAGAGTCTTCCGGCTTCTCTATTGATTTCCACAATTTGAGGTCGTCGGCAAACATTACTCGCCCGCAGTTCGGACAGTCTAGACAGTCGTTCACATATATTAGGAACGGAATTGGACCCAGAACGCTTCCCTGCGGAACGCCACTGTGCACGGATGCCCATTCCGATTTAGCGTTTCCGATACACACACGCTGAGATCTGCCCGTAAGAAAACCGGCTAGCCACCGACAGAGGACAGCAATTGGAATCTAGACTTTATAAGGCCCTTACTGGTCACCTCGTTTACTCTTGCACACGTACGAAAGCTTATCACCCCTCATTCAGCGGTCTGGTCGGGCGCTCCCACCGTCAACTCAAAACCTCGCTCCCGCCCCGCTCATTGGATTGGGCATCTCCTTTTTGTCATGCTCGGTATCCGCACCGCACTAAAATCCGACTTAAAGTACTCCATTGCCGAATTTGTTTACAGGACTACACTACGGATTCCCGGCGACGTTTGTGAGTCGATCTGGATGCAACCGATTGTGTCCAAAGTATGGGCCAAGCAATGGTTGACTTCCTGTCCATACCTCCACGCGTGCCAGCAAGTAAGTCACATATTGACGCTAACTTGCTAACATATTCTCTTGTATTTGTCCGCGTAGATGGCGTTCATAAGCCACTACAATGGTCATACGACGGATTATTTCGAGTCCTGTCACTTCCACCTGATAACCCTCTGTATTCCCCTCCCTCTCCATTCCACTCCCTCAGCGCACTGATAGTCGTGTCCGTTTATCTAATAGTAACATTGCTAACACATGTCGGACTCATACCTTTTTTCGCATGCGAACTCTGTTCCCCTGGGAGGAGGAGTATTGTGATGACACGAAAAAGTGTTTTTTTTTCGTGCGTTAAAAACGATCTGTAGAAACTCTGGCACAACTTTCAAGAGCAAGTTATCGTCAC